CCACCTTGATTGGCAGCAGTCCTTGGGAGCTGAAATATATGACACAGTATTACTTACTAATGTGCAATAATAAATAACCTTCAATAAGCAGTCAGTACATCTTATTTCATGTATGAAACTGGATCAAAATATTTACCATTGTTTAGAGTTAACAAATTTGCCAAGTATCATTTTAAGCTTGCAAAAAGCACAAACTGTGTTGGCACAACATAAGGAGTGTGTATGCATGTGTGTGTGTGTGTGCATGTGCATGTACATTCACAGTCACATTCCATCAGTGTAATAAATAGATCCCTATTCTATTGCCCCTGCTGTCTTAACCTCTCTCCTTCATGTCTGCTGTCACTGCTGTTGTGTGTTTAACATAACTGAAGAAAAAAACATACTTGTCCTCAATAAGGATATCACATATTCAAAGATATACATGCAATAAAAATAGATAACTTAACAGTGAATTAACTCAGTGATTGTGCAAGAGAGTCTGCTTATTGTGTGGGTAAATTTTTAAAGTGTGTTAAATGAATGCCTGTTAAATTGATAGATTTTATGTCGCCTGAAGACAAAAATATGGAATAGAAACTGTGTACAAATAGGATTTGGGCAAAAATACTGAACTGCACGAGTGAAAACTCATTCAAAGACTATTCATTAAAAATTTAATTATTTTCATGGAGACCAGATTTAGTTTTTTAAAGACCAGCTTGCTTGAACAACATTGTTTACCTGTATATATGTACGTGTACATGTTAGTGTGTGTGTGCATGCATGTGCATGTTTCATAAATGTATAAAATCATAATTGAATCTTGGCTCCATTCGACCAGATGCATGGGGAGGCATGTGAGAGGCCCAGATATATTACAAGGACCAAAACTTGCATCCTGAAAATCAACAGGTACAAGGACCAGGACTTGCACCCTGAGAATGAACAGCTACAAAGACCAAGACTTGCATCCTGTGAGTCAACAGCTACAAGGACCAAGACTTGCACCCTGTGAGTCAACAGCTAAAATGACCAAGACTTGCACCCTGAGAGTCAACAGCTACAAGGACCAAGATGTGACTTACACCGTGACAATCGATATTTCCATTTGAATAAACTTGTTTTATTTTTGATAACTATTAATATTAGCAAGAGCACAGCTCAAGAACATATTTTTTTATCCCTTAGAAGTATTGCAGAGGTTGTGATGGGGGTCAGTGCCACACAGCATTTGGCAATGATGGGTGCTTTTGTTATGATAATTGCAGGTCAAGGCACAACAAAAGGAATAATCCTGGTTCTATTCATTCTATTCAAGCCTAGAAGAAATTAACAGAATTTTCAATAGAATATCTCTAAAAAAATTTCTAACTACATTTATTGCACGCTCACACACATACACACTGAAATTAATAATAATAAATTGCAATATTTGTAATAGGTAAACTTAAACAGCACCATTTACAATCAATCTTTACCTTAAACTGCACTATTTATACTTAATTCATGACAGTATTGATAAACAAAGTTTATCTGGAATTGAACTTTGGGCAAAGTTGCACACCCATCATTAATTAAAAACCCAATTTGAATCAAGGCTTGAAAATGTTAGAAAACACATGCAAGTCAGGGCACCACAAATTGTGGTGTACCCACTATCATGCCCTAATCATTGAAGGTCCTGTTTCATTTAATGTACAATAATTATAAATTTAAAAAGTTTTACAGATGATCTACATCTTCCCATTATACAGTAATTACAATTACTTTATCTTTTCAATATGAAAAAGTTGTGATTTTTACAAATATTGTATCCAGTATTTTCAAAGTCATAATTTCTAAAAATCAGATCATTTCTATGGGATAGTACTAACAAAAGTATAAACATACTACTATATAGTTATATTCTATGCAGTAAAAGCACCACACATGCTATAAAGAATAAATATTGTATTTGTGAAATGATGTATCTGAATGTTTGATAATTTTTGCCCATCAAAAAGATTGAATGTTTACTATATATTCTTTATTTTTGTGGAACAACTGTAATTTCTTTTTAAAGGCATAAACTTAGAAGTGATGCATTTGCAGGTGTGTGTGTGTGTGTGTGTGTGAAGAGAGAGAGAGAGAGAGAGAGAGCAATGAATCATGTAAACATCGCAGAAAGGAGAGAGAGAAAGAGAGAGAGAGAGAGAGAAATGAATCATATTTAAGCAGCGAGTGACGGACCTCCACAGAATTAGGACCTGTAGATTTCTGGTACATAAAGTGCAGGTCCTCCGGACCTTCAGTACCTCCAAAGTTTTCCCCATGTTTAAATTTGCAATACACAAATGGAAAATAAAGGTATGATAACAAAACACACATGCTGCCATATCCTCAAGAGCATTAAGATTGGTTTCCCTAACCAGACTAAAAACCAAAGTTTTGTTGACAAATCCAGTGGGTTAACAAAAACAATTCCGTAATGGTCAATACCAACAGTCCCTTAAAAGATTATTTGCCTATCACTTATTGACAAGACATGCAAACACACATATCATTCATCTGTGTTATATTGCCATTTTTATAACACTATTCCACCCAAAACGCCAAACCAATGCTGCAATAAAACTTATTTTGGGTTGATGTTTTTTTTTCTCAAAATTAACACAATACATTTGCACACACCCCCACACCCCGGGGAAAAAAGTAAACATGTGTTTAAAGCCAAAATTTAAGATTCACATATTTTAAAACATGCCTATGGTTAGTTTACAATGCTGTGTCTTTCATTCCTGTGACATTGTACATGCCTATACATCCCCGCACCGATACTCCCCCGCTTCTTTACACCCCCGCACCGATACTCCCCCGCTTCTTTACATCCCCGCATCGATACTCCCCCGCACTCATACTCCCGCGTACCGATACTCCGCAAAAGCACTACTCCCCCAAGGCATAGATTCCCTTGGCTTTGTAAACATCCTTTCTATAATGCTTTTTTTTCAAGATGCACCACCCTCTTGGGACCCAAAATTGACACATTTTATTCGAAATATATTGGGGAAAATAAAGAACGTTATACGAAGTCGACTTTGTGTGCAGCTTGACAGTACGTAGGCCTACAGCTCTTCCTTGTGATTTTTGAGAAATGTTTTTGCAAAATTAATATCGTTCTCCTACTGTAGTTACCGTATATATATTATACGCCCTTTTATTTATTTATTTATTTTTTTATTTATTTATTTATTTATTTACTTAAGGCAAAGTTAGTTTTAATCTAAGATAACGCAGCTATGTCTTTTCTTCAGGCAACGATGAATTCGTTAAATTATTAAGTAATAAAAAAGCAGTGCTAAAGCGCTTCGTTTTCTGTCTTCTTCCTCCAACCTTCTTTTCTGTTCTTTAAGCTTCTTTCCCTTGTCTTTTGGAGGTATATTAGAATCTGAATTGAGCAAAATTCAAAATTTTTGAAAATTGTTGCACAACGAAATTGTAGAGACACGAGCATGCGTCGTGAGCACGCCTTTTATACTCGCAGTCCCGCCGTGTTTTCGACTTACTTCGTTATAGATGTGAGGGCGTGCGCCGTACTCAACACGCAAAGGGCACTTTCTCCTTCATTGCTTGCGACGTGCATCTTGGACCACGCAAGTCTCACTTGCAAACTCCTCGCAAACTCCTGTGGTGCGGGGGAGTAACGGTGCGCGTATAACGCCAATTTTAGAGGGGATTTATCGATGCGGGGATCTGTCGGTGTGGGGTCGTATCGATGTGCATAATGTAAAAATTTAATAAGGGGAAGTATCGGTGCGGGGGAGTATTGGTGGAGGGGAGTATCGCCATGACCCCGTGACGCATTCATTCCTCACATGAGACCAGAACGCTACTGCCACACCCTGAGCTTCAGAGCTAACTTGACACTAACCTATTCACTGTAGCCTATCTTCATCGTGTCAAGTAACCTCTGACCAGATTCGATTGCCTCCGCCGCCCGCCAATCAAATTTAAAAGCCCGCACTCAATGGCTCATTAAACGATCTAGCCAATGAACGCGAACGAGTCAAAGCGCGCTTTGTTCAAATCCGGACCAATCAAAGATAAGGCTGAATATCAGGGACTTGCCGTAACCTGTGGGCAGCACGCAAATAACATGGTCTCTCAGTAGATAATGATGCAGGGCCTCAAACTGCTAGACCCTATGGTTTCAATTCCGATTTACTCATATTTTGCAAAGAATCAAGAGATAACTTAACACATTCTTTTTCGTAGTCACTCGCCTTGCTTTCTTTGTGTACGGTAATACACTCGGAACTACTCGGATGTCTCCGCACTCGACAATAACTTTGTTGTTAGTATGGAGCTTGCGGAATCAGCCGAGGATTGCCGATTGACGGTCAACCAATCAGCGTTTTCACCAAACTTTGGTGAAAAATTTTGAAACTTGGATTCGATTGGCTTATATAAACTAGGTCAAACTATTTTCGTCAGAGGTTACTTGACACGATGGAGATAGGCTACAGTGAAAAGGTTAGTGTCAAGTGAGCTCTGAAGCTCAGGGTGTACTGCCATCACTCGATTGACAAAATTACCTTTACCCGGTATGGTGAATATACAACTTGTTGGAAATGTTGAAAATCTACAAGTTACAGGCCATCGCACATTTAAAAAAACTTATATGTTCAAAAATGAATGCCAAACTATGAAAAAACAGGAACAGATAAAGAAAAAAAACCCATTAAGCTACATTTGGCACAACTCAAAAGTTTTGTGTGCGGCCATTTTGCTACACGCCAGTAAATTAAGAGAATATTCAGTGAAATCGATACACGGATATTCCTTATTATTCCTTTGGTGTATAAAATGTTACATAATTATATCCTGTATCGTCTCGTTAAGTTTATTAGTATAAAACTCGAAAGGCCATTGTAGAAACACCTCTACATCTTACCGGTCTCTGTGCCTTTCTCTCCCGCCATTTTCTCATGGAGCTAATAGCCCCCTTTATGAAAACGAGGCCAAGTCTAACAATTTCCTAAATAACCGCCATACGAGCCGGGAAGCCGTTTGCTCCCACAGGGTACATGTATCTGTGCATTATTATGTAATTCAGGTGAGGGGTGTTCAGAGAGGTCAGTAGAAGATGGAGGAGACAGATATTCAGGGTACGTTGCTACAATTGCCACATGTCGACCAAAAATTAAGCACAAAAAATGACATCAAGTTGCATTTGCCTTCCATACATGATATAAAATAACGTTGCGTATTTTGTGTTGACGACGTTGGCCCAAATGATGCAGTTCGCGGTTTAGTCCTTATGACCGTAGAAACATTGTACAAATGTCAAATACACTCGCCATTAGAAGTCAAAAATCAACTAAAAGTTTGAATAATACATTTTCTGTTATTTTAGAGAGGAAACGCATTTGCCAATGAGGAAGTGATGGGCTTATTTTGGCTGCCAAAAGGTCTGAACTGGACATCCGTCTTCAGCAGTGTAAAACTATTGAGCAGGTATCTACATTCATTTTATGGGTTTTGTTTTATGGGAGAGGACATCGACTTTTTTCAAAGTATGAAAAATGCCCTGTTCATTTAAAATAAACATACAAATGCATATTCAGCAATAAAATGTAATATGTCACTGCATGCCTGGAAACGACGGACTCAGGCTGGGTGCACGAGTGGAATTAGGGAGGTCAGGTCAAACCGTTCACGCAGTCGAAAATCTTACCTCACTGTTTGTTGTCCATCATGACTTCCAAGATTTGGGTCCTGTGATGAATGTGAAAATATATTTAAAAAGTGCATTGAATGAGCTTTCTAACAGTATGTGTAACAATGTATCATTTCTCCGTTGTTAGCCTCCAGCCATGAAAATGCTGCCAGAAATGACTGTTTACTCATTTGGTTCCCACTATTTACAAATTTTGCTCAAGAGGTTATTTTATTTTTCAAATAAAGTATGAAATTACGTACAATATTTATGGGCCTAATGCTTTATTTTTCACCTTTAAACATGTTAGTGATCATAAAAAGGGGAATCTTAATTAAAATCATGGAGATATGCAATACCTCTAGGCTCTAGAATGGTTAATGACAGTCAAACAAAAGTGAACAAAAGTAGTATTTATTTATTTTTTTCTTAACAAAAATAAAAAGGGAAAATTCCTAAAACTGCCATTACGTTATGGCAGTCTCTCCAAAAAATCTCACTGGTTTTTGTATTACCTAGCTGCTATGATGTCTAATATCAGTTTAAATTTTTTGGCAAAATGATAACTTACCAAAATTACTAATAAAATTATTAACGGATATTACTAATTTTCATTGCGCATTCTGGCTTTTTTTTTTTACTAGTTAAACCTTAAAATTGTATATATATGCAATTGTCATTGTAATATTGGTTGCCATGGCAACAGTGACATGGTACTTGTTTACTATTGAACTTAAATTCATAAATTGAGTAACAAGAGTGTTTCCCACTTTATATTCAGTTAAAAAATTAATGATAATGTGCAAAAAATAATTCAAACTGTTACCGTAGCAACAGCTATCATAATGACGATTTCCATAGCAACAGATACATTCCATAGAAGCCAGTATTTTTGTTTTTAGTGATGGCACATTTTTTAGAAGCATTTTCATCCAAAAATAGCCTTTGGGCAGTGATGCTGAAGCCTTAAGGTTGAAAAAAAATAGTGTTGATCAGTATTGATATTTAGCAACGGTTGCCATGGAAATAATGGATAAATTACAGAAAATTATATCTTGTCAGATTCATCTTGGCATACTGTAACTTTCCAGAAAATTTCAAATGGATATTTCACTCCATAAAATGATTCAAAAGTTATGCCAATTTTGTTTAATTGATAGGGCAATTAGGTGACACTTTTGGCTTCCACAATTACATATACTTGCATACCACTTTTTCAAAATTTTGTGGGCAACTAGTATTCTTTTAAATTTAATAACTTTTGATTGGCTTGCTTGATTTTTCAAAAAATAAAATGTTTTGGAAAGCTCATGAATTACTCTATCAAATGAGATCATTTTGGGTGATATTTATGTTACTATCAAAGTTGACCTGACCTCTCTAGTAGAATGAACAAGGCAAAGTCTAGCTAGTTTTTCATCAATATTTCCTACAAATAACTGTAAAAGGGATAACAACTGGTTGTTTTGGCAAAGAAAGTATTTACCTGGGGAAAACAATGATTTTCCCATACCCATACAAACCAGTGTTCAACTAATCCATTCCAACATTCAAAGATAGTTTTTTTTCTTTTTTTTTTTTCTAAAAAGTTTTTTTCTGGTAATAATCTGTTAAGAGATTGTTACGGAGGCATAAACAGCCACCTGGTCTGTTGGCAAGCATTGTAAAGTCCGCTACTGAAGAAAATGTGGTGCTTCATTAAATATGTTCATATCATTTTAACGTTGAATAGAATTTTATATATAAATGCTAAAATAAGATCTACATATGATCATAATGATCTACATATTGCTTTATTGAATTGTTTTTGTTTTGTTTTTTTTATGTGATTTTCTTCTTTTAATTTCAGGGACTCCCAACTACTGCGTTTCCGGGAAATAGGATACATGCTCCATGAAAGATCTAGGCTTCAGATCCAGACTGCCATGTTGCCGGCAGACTTGGTTGTCCAGCCAGGGTTCTGGCAAATTCAGCTGTCCTGCCATTCTGATGGGTGACTCGGCTGTCCTACCATGAAGCTGACAGACTGGGTTGTCCTGCCATGTTCTGGCAGTCTCAGTTGTCTTGCCATGTAGCTGGCAGTCTCAGTTGTCCTGCCAGAGTTTTGGCAGACTCGGCTATCCTGCCATTCTAATGGCAGTGTTGGCTGTCCTGCCATGAAACTGGCAGTCTAGATTGTCCTGCCATGTTGTGGCAGTCTCGGTTGTCCTGCCATGTTCTGGCAGTCTCAGTTGTCTTGCCATGTAGCTGGCAGAC